CCAGGAAGAACAGATGCTTCTCATGAAGGACCTTCACGCTACCTTCGGGAAAGAGATAAGGGAGGTGAAGGATAAGGTTGCTCAACATGATAACCGCCTGTCGGAAGCTGAGACCCAAATCAACCAAGTTAAGAAAACGCTGGATGAACTCAAACTTGGGGATGGAACCACAGCTCCCGTAGTAGCTTCAGCACCTTCGCTACGTGGGTTCAAGGTGCCACCGTTTGACGGGACTTCTTCCTGGTCAGCCTACAAAATCCAGTTCGAGGCTGTTATGAAAGCGAACGGCTGGAATAAAAGTCAGGCCATGACTGCTCTCACACTAGGCCTGCGCGACCAGGCCTTAACAGTTCTGGAAGCTCTCGGTGAGGAAGTGACTTATGAGCAACTCCTTGAGGCATTGGAGGCGAGATATGGCGACGCTCACCTGGAACACGTCTTTCATGCGCAGCTTAAAGATCGTGTGCAGCGCATCAACGAAAACCTGCAGCAGTGGGCTCTAGAGGTGGAGAAGCTGGTGCGGAAAGCATACCGGTCTGTACCTGCGCTCATTGAAGGGAACCTGGTGCAGACATTCATCGACGGCATCCGCGACCTGGAAGTCAGAGCTGCTGTGAGGCTCGGGCACCACGAGACGCTTAAGAACGCCTTGGCCCATGCACTGGAAGTGGAAGCCGTGCGGCAGGATCATCGTTCCCATCGCGTCAGGGAGGTTGCAGCAGCTACAGTTCGCGACCGCAACAAAGGATACAGCCCAAGGTGCTATGGCTGTGGGGAAAAGGGCCATCTTCGATCCAGCTGCCCTAAGCGAACCCTAGAAAGGGAAGGTGAACGATCCCAGGAGGGTAGTGCGGCCAACAGCACCGCCCAGCAGCAGCAGGGAAACGAGTAAAAGCCAGAACTGCGGGGCGGGTGCTGGCTGATGTTAAAAGAGCCCCAAGGATCTCGATCTCACGAACCCATGATGGGAACGGTCTAATCATCAAAGGCGAGGTCAACGGAATGCCGTGTAAACTGACCATAGACACTGGAGCCTCTCGTACGGTTGTTAGTTCCCAACTTATAAGTCAGTTCCTTGTGGACTCCGCATACAACCGAAAACGCATTAATTTGGTAACAGCTACCGGTCAGCGTATACCCGTCCGTGGAGAGAAGGAGATGGAGTTGAAGCTAGGCAACGTGATCTACCTGCATAATGTCATCGTGGCTGATATAATGGACGACTGCATCCTAGGCCTAGACTTTATGAGGAATAATTGTTGTGAGATCGACGTTAAGCAAGGTGTTTTGAAATGTGGACAGGAGGAACTTTTTATGGAAGGTGCGTTACCAGGGAACGTGTACAGCATTAAGAAGACTGTTCTTCCGCCGAGATCGGAAACGATTGTTCCGGTTAGTCTTCCTCGAAACGCTGGGCAAGCTCACCGTTGTGTACTTGTGGAAAGGGTAAACAATGATCTTCCATGGAAAGTAGCTCGAACCTTGGTTAGGACCACTGACATCTCAGGAGTACGTGTGCTGAACCTTTGCGACCGGGAACAGATTATAGAAAAAGGCACACTGATTGGTACTTGTGAGGAAGTGGATTGGTTACGTCGGTGCCAATATATATCGAGTGGGACCCCCAGCAAGGATGCAGAAACGAGAGTGACCACACTTTTGGAAGACTGTCGCAGTGTTCTCTCCCCGAACGAATTGGTCAAGGCGAAGAAGTTGTTACTCAAGTACGCCGATGTATCCCATCAAACGATGCTGACATAGGAAAGACTGGCTTAGTTCAACACAAAATAAACACAGGAGAAGAATTGCCTATCCGTCAGCGGCCAAGACGATTGCCGGTAGCACGTGAAAAGGAAGTGGAAACCATGATTGAGGGAATGGTGAAGGATGGTGTTATTGAACCTTCATCTAGTCCATGGTGTTCACCAGTGGTGCTGGTGAAGAAGAAGGATGGCAGCATGCGGTTTTGTGTTGACTACCGCCATCTGAACGACGTTACGAAGAAGGACAGCTATCCCTTGCCAAGAATTGATGACACGCTGGACATGCTTACGGGAGTAAAGTGGTTTAGCACGCTGGATCTAAAAAGTGGCTACTGGCAAGTTGAAATTGACCCTAAGGACAAGGAGAAAACTGCGTTCTCGACGGGAAAGGGTCTGTGGCAATTTAAAGTAATGCCGTTTGGGTTGTGCAATGCTCCAGCAACGTTTGAAAGATGAACTAAGAATGCTGATGGAACATGTACTTACCGGGCTAATTGGCGATGCCTGTCTGGTCTACTTGGATGACATCATCATCATAGGCCGTACGTTTGAGGAACACCTTCAAAACCTGGAACGCGTGCTCATGAAGATTCAGAGTGCCAACCTCAAGTTGAGCCCGAAGAAATGTTCACTATTCCAACGGCAAGTTAACTTTTTGGGGTTTGTAGTATCGGAAGAAGGTATCCGCACAGATCCAGAGAAAATCGCCGCTGTCAAGGATTGGCCGGTTCCAAAAGACGGTTGAGCTTTTGGGTTTGTGCTCCTATTACCGGCGATTTGTGAAGAACTTTGCAGATATAGCCAAACCTCTGCACAAGCTAACCGAGGAGAAGCGACATTTCTGCTGGGATGAAAGTTGCAATATCGCATTCCGGGAGCTCAAGGACCATCTGTGCAAAACACCTATTTTGGGATACCCTGATGCAAGCAAAGAATTTATAGTTGACACAGACGCAAGTGATATAGGACTTGGCGGTGTGTTGTCTCAACGGAATGGTGACCAAGAGGTCGTGATAGCGTACTTCAGCAAGTCGTTGTCAAAACCGGAAAGGAACTACTGTGTCACAAGACGCGAATTGCTAGCTGTGGTAAAGTCGTTGCAGCATTTTAGCAAATATCTTCTGGGGCGAAAATTTCACTTACGAACTGACCATGCTGCACTAAAATGGCTATTGCAGTTTAAAAATCCAGAAGGACAAGTTGCGAGGTGGATTGAACTACTGCAGGAATACGACTTCGAGATCGAACATCGCAACGGGAAATCTCATGGCAACGCAGATGCATTGTCAAGAAGACCTTGTCCTGAAGATTGCAAACATTGTACTAGGCAAGAGAGTAAGGAAGTGGTATCCGTGAGGATGCTCAGAGCAGACCACCTCAGCAACGAGTGGAAGGACAGCTTACAACGTGCACAGCAGGAAGATCCGGACATCAAGCCGATCCTCGAATGGATGAAGGCCAGTGCTCCCAAGCCCAAGTGGAGCGAGGTCTCAGCGATGAGTTCGACCACTAAAAGCTATTGGGCCCAGTGGGACAGCTTGCTGCTTCAGGATGGAGTTCTGTGCCGTAAATGGGAAAATGTTCGGGGAGACAGCTGTCATTTACAAATGGTTGTCCCTAAAGCTAAAGTACCGGATGTTCTACAGCTGTACCATAATGATTATTCAGGAGGCCATCTGGGAGTTAAACGAACTCTACTGAAGATCCGAGAACGGTTTTACTGGGTCCACTGTCGAAACGATGTCGAGGACTGGTGTCGCAAATGTACAAGTTGTGCGGCTGTAAAGGGACCTCAGACTCGTAGTAGAGGTGCATTGAAATTGTACAATGTTGGTGCACCATGGGAGAGAATAGCCATTGACGTGGCGGGGCCGTTTCCGGAGAGTGAAAGCGGTAACAGGTATTTCATGATTGTGATGGATTACTTCACTAAGTGGCCAGAAGTCTTCGCCATTCCAAATCAAGAAGCTTCAACAGTTGCTGATAAGCTAGTTCATGAAGTCTTCTGTCGTTTTGGTGTACCTTTAGAGATTCACAGCGATCAAGGAAGGAATTTTGAGTCTCAAATATTCCAGGAAACTTGCCGAGTTATGGGTACTCATAAAACAAGAACGACTTCTTATCACCCGCAATCTGATGGAATGGTAGAACGATTTAATCAGACATTGGAGAGGTACCTAGCAAAAGTTGTAGACAATCGGCAACGAGATTGGGACAAGCACATACAACCGTTTTTGTTGTCATATAGAAGCGCTGTTCACGAAAGTACAGCAGTGACACCAGCTTTCGCAAACTTTGGAAGAGAATTACGGCTGCCTGCAGACCTGATCACCGGGATACCACCTGATGCTCCACGCAGTATAACCGATTATGCAAATGACTTGCGGAACAAAATGAATGACGTTTATGAGCACGTCAGACAATCGGGCCAGCAAATGTCTGAAAAGATGAAAACCCGGTATGACCGCAAAATGGACAACAGAGGGTTCGACGAAGGTTCACTTGTGTGGTTGCACAATCCAGTCCGCAGCAAAGGGAAATCTCCAAAGCTTCAAGCTAAATGGGACGGCCCGTACCGGATTGTGACCAGGATCAACGATGTAACCTACCGGATACAGAAAGGCGCAAGAGGGACTCCTAAGATCGTCCATGTGGATCGCCTAGCGCGTTATTATGGGACCGATAATGCTCGGGACGAGCATGTCTTAGGAGGGGGCAGTGTTACGCGCTCCAATGCCTCAAATCGGCGCACTAGCGCCATCTAGTCTCGAACCGAAGAACTAAACTTCTTGAAGTTTAAAACTCGAACTCTCGGTACCTTGCGCGTGTTTACTTGAACATTCTGGATATTTTGCTAATTTATATAAGTAGGCGCTGCAAGATGCGATCGTAGCAGACTTGAACTGGGCGACACAAGCGAAGCTTCGGAGCGGAATTAAGTGAATTAGTGTGTTTAATCATTAGTGTTTTAAGTTTTAATTTGTGTAAAGTAAATTAAAGTGTTAATTTAGGTAATTTTATCGGCAATTTTTATTGTCACGAACCCTAAGCTCGTAACAATATATATATGTATATATATATATATATATATATATATATATATATATATATATATATATATATATATATATATATATATATATAAATTTAAAACTTAAGCTCAAATATATACATATATTTGAGCTTAAGTTTTAAATTTGCCCTCGATTAACCCGGTATATACATTTTTTTTTTCAGAAATATTCAATCCTTAGTTTCATCACAATTATTGCGCTCTCTGCAACAATACTGGTCATGGGGCCAGCTTATCAGTTCCGCGAATATAATGTCATAGAATCTTCTTTATTTGCCGCATTAAATAGACCCATTTGGGCTGGTCTTATTGCAGCGATTATATTACTGTGCGAATACGGAACTTTACGTAAGTATTTTCTGAAAGTAAACATGCAATTTTATCTTTTTATTTTGTTTATATATAGAACGTCGCACACGCCGACGCGATTTTCGTGTCGGTTGCGGTCGGAAATGCTCGGCTACGTTCGGTTTGCTTTCGTGATAGTGCGGGCGTCTTCGTTTTTTTTTAGCATTAGCGTTATACCGCAACGCTTTGCGCCGCCGGAGTAACGGTTTCCTTATGGATCGCGACAACTTATTTCCGACTTCATATCTTAAATTCTTTTAATGCATTTAATTACTTGTATTGATTCTTAATTTCTCTTTTTTGTGCTATAATATCTCTGTGGTAAATTGTTCTTGTGTAAAGAAAAAAAAACAATATATATATATATATATATATATTATTGTGTAAAGAAAAAAAAAACAATATATATATATATATATATATATATATATATATATATATATATATATATATATATTGTTTTTTTTTCTTTACACAAGAACAATTTACCACAGAGATATTATAGCACAAAAAATGTATATATATATATATATATATATATATATATATATATATATATATATATATATATATATATATATATATTGTTGCGTGTTTCCAGTGATGACCTACGGAACCGAGACGTGGTCCTTCACTGCTGGATAGTCTACGGACTAAAGTATAGTAAGTCCACTTACCGTCAGGATGGATGAAGTGGACTGTGTGCTCCTTTGTCACTCTAATTTTCAATTTAAAAAAAGATAGGCAGAAGATAGTTACGGGCAGTGAGTTAATTCATCACAGTCCTTAGAAATGTACATCCGTAGTTTGTTTAAAGTTTGTTATGAGTTACTGTCTCCTACAGAATGATGAATTGTTAAATTGTTTATCGCTGGAATGTTATAATAGTAAGATCTGAACCGAAAAAAAAAACAATAAATGCCAATTGTCTCAATGTTCTCTACTTTCTAGCTCACATCACTGACTTCTTAAGCTGGTCGGCATTCGTGCCTCTAAGTAAGCTCTCCTACGGGGTCTACATGTGCCATTTCTTTTTCGTTATGAGACTAACACTAGGTTTGCGTAGTCCGGCATGGTATGACTTATTCAAAATTGTAAGTGTAATTATTTATTATATTATGTATACTACTAACACTTTAAATTATAAGAATTGTTCTCTATTTACAAATATGGGTGGATCCTAAGTATAAATCCAGGACAGTATGTATATCCATACGTGGTAGAGCCATGCTGCTGTTGTATTAGTGGTATAGTTGTAGCACGAATGGGTTGGCTCAACCGGAGAAGGACCACGCTCTCTCAGAATACCAACGTAAAATAGTAGCTTAATGCTGCTGTGTTTCGTATGGTGAGTCTAAAGAACCGAAGACCCTTTTTACTGGAAACGAGGCATTCCAACTTAGTCGTCAGGCGTGACAATGCACGCATGCATTTTGATTCGTAATCGATCGTAGATGTCTATGGGCCACAGAAACCACTTATCGTCAGGTTGACTGTGTTCTCTTTTGTCACCCTATCCTATAAAAAATGTGTATAAAAACACAAATCGTTTGTTTTCAAACAATTTATGGTGTGCCTACCTCTTAGGGTTATTATACTACTAAAGAGTACATGATTAATAACAACCTTTGGGAATGAAGTGATCGGTGCCATGCTGTTTATAAATGTTTTAATAACAATTGAATAAATATTTATTTATTTATATAATTTGCATCCTACAAGAAATACATTATACATCCATATACAATCGACACCACGTGTGGGCATAGCAAATTACAAGAGGGTAGTTTGAATTTTAAATACTAAATATTAACCACTACTAATTACCAACTAACATATTTCTTACATTTCTAGTCTAATATATTGTTTTCTATAATTATTACAGATACAGTTTCCATTTATTCACATCTTTAAAGAATTCACTTAAATTGTAATAAATTTTATCAACTAACAATTACTTTTTTTATAAAATTTAATCAAATCTAAGAAATACCTTTTGACGTTTCACATTAATCATTCCACAATAACTTTGCACTAGCGTACTCACACGATTCCAAATAATCTTTTACATAAATCAGAAGAATTATGAATTTGTCTTTATTTCATTATAACGCGTATAGTTTTTTATCACTAATTTAAATTTGAATCTTTCAAACAAATCCAAATATTAAAAAATAACCAGTATCAACTTTTTTTACTCGACGTCGTTTCAAATATATGTACATTACTGTAGTGTTTGGATGATTAAAATTCATTGTGTGTGAATAATCTGCAAAATATTCAAATAATCGGTAAATATATTCAAATAATCGAATCATTAATTTGTTTGATGTATTATTTGTTTAATTTAATTTTTAATTTTCAAAATTCAAAAACAAGTTTATTTTTTTACTTTGTCAAAGTAAATTTGTGTAGGCAAAAAAACTCGGCCGTCAAACAAGGCCGTGCTAAAATAACCACTACATAATTTCAATATCCCGCCATTTCGGTACCAGTTGCTCAACTCCACAGAGTCAGTAATTCATTCTTGGGGCGATGTTAACGCTTTTACAACAAAATACCTGAAAATATACAAAAATTGACGTAATTACACAAAGTTCGAAAACTTTATTAAATTAAGTTTGTATAAAAAGGGTTATTATAATATTAAGGAATTTATGGATGATAATAATAACCCCTGAGAAGGGTGATCGCTATCAAGCTATTTCTAATTTGTTTTTAACAAGCATGATTGTAAGCTCTTTTTTTTAAACTAGTCCCGGTGGGTTTCTTGTTAGTTCTTCCCAGGATAGAGGTTTTTTTTTGCGAACCAGTGTTATATGAAAAAAGTGATTTTCAATAAGTATTATTCATAATCTACATTGAATAAAAAAAGTTTCTGTTTCTATTTTGAGAGCTTACTGTGCGTAATTTTGTGATTTTGTGTTTGTTTTCGTATTTTGTGACTCGGCTTTAACTTTTTGAACTGTTTCTTCTATATTCGTTGAAGCATGTGCCCATGTCACAAAAGATCGGGCAAAAGTGGTAGAAAAAACAAAAAAATTATTATGGAGAACTTTGAAAGATGCATTAATTTTGACTGCTTTATTGAAAATCAAATAATAATTAATTTAAACAACGACATCTCTACTATTTGTACTGAAAGTGTTTGAATAAATTTATTTTTAATCTAGTTTCGATCTTAAATTTTTATAACTATGCCTCTAGAAATAAGCACTAACAACAAATACGAAGAAACTGATAAATCTTGTGTTTTAAATTATCCGTTTTTAATTTATTCTGGTATTATATATATACCAACTCTAAATAATCGATATCGATTATTTAAGAATCGAATATTGTACGTTCTAATTTTTTGGTTGGCATGCTTGGTGCTATAAGTCTGACAGCTGTCAAAACGTATTTCTTAGATTTGATCATGAAGGTTAGAGAACAGGAGAACGATCGCCGTAGAAAATAGTGTCCCAGAAATATGGACACCATAAGTGAGGCGCTGCGATCGCTAAGTTCGGTCAATAAAAGTCATTTTCTGTCTATTTTTCCGATCAGATGCTAAAACACTTGCACATCCATGCACAAATAATATTTCTCCATTTTTTAATGTTTCTGTCAAAAATTACAAAATTACGGAGCATGAAAATTTTCTCACCAATACCGCGGAGAAATTTTGTACATTATTCAACTAACTTCATCTACTTGTACTCATAAACAGCTAATTTCGCAGTCACTACTCACCGACGTCAGCGCCGCTATAAATTCTACAATTTTCAAGAACAGGTAAGCTATGCTTTAGTACGTAGTGATCGTTCTCCTGTTCTCTAACCTTCATGGATTTGGTTGACTATAGTATATAGTCTATATTTTTGAGGTTATTTGGAATATTACAATAATATATATATATATATATATATATATATATATATATATATATATATATATATATATATATATATATATATATATATATATATATATATAATTACCATCGTATAGGGGCCTAAATTTTTAGTTATGATTTTTTTGACAGACAGAGGGCTTTTTCCACACTAGTGGTAAAAATTAAAAAAAGTACTTTTAATAAGAATTACATGTAATCAATATTGAATAAAAATTATTCTATTCTAATCTTATATAATCTGACTAATATTATACTGCTACTCTAATGTTCGTTTTACTATAATAATACTAGAATACTATGTTAGTACTATAATATACATACTATTATAATCCTTACATCAGACATGGTTACATTGAAAGTATCTTCGGGTCTTCGTTTCATATCACAGCAGTATTTGAAACTGCATGGTTTGCCAGCCTAAATTATTAACTACGAGTAAATAAAGAATATTTTGACCTTTACCACAACAATCACATATGTTTTATTTATTTTCAGGTGCAAGATGCAATGGGCATTCTTGTGATAACTTATCTGCTGAGTTTGTACATAACGTTGTTCATCGAGTCCCCGTTAAACAATTTAGTGGCTCTAGTACTAAATACTAAGTAAGTTAACTTGTACTATGTTATATAAATGTATTATTAATTCTCTTTGGGAGCCATTTCTTAACTACTTAAGGAATAATATTTTTTAATGCATGACTGAAATACTTGATATGTTATTGTAGAATATATGAGTACTTGCAAAAACTAAAATTTACTGTATATTATAAATGTAAAAGATAAATTTGTAGCTATTATACAAGAAAGAGTTCGCTACACTACTGCTATCTGTGTACTCTATTATGTGAACGGTCATACATTTTATTATAGTTTCTAAGACGTTTTTAATACTTTTTTATTTGCGGGAAAGTAATTAAAACTGTAATAAATAATTTCTTATATTTACGCGAACACTACACATTGAAATAATACTAGTTTTTACGGAATATATCGCGTATATTTAACTTTTTAATTACCCGACGTTTCGAGATCTTTACAGCACCCATGGTCACGGGAAGGACTGAGATGTTCAACGTCCAGCTGTCATAGTTAACCGCGGTTACCATAGATTAAAATTTAACTTTTGTTCCGATCTACACAGTATGAACTTATGGTATCATGGAGTCTTGCAGTTGTATGCTTGGGTTGGGATTTAATTTTATTTATTATAGGATCCCAAGCAGATGGTAGCACCCAGCCATCTTCTCTATTGAAATTAGGATGTTTTTTTGATTTCAATAGCCTCGCGAATCATCCTTGGAAGGAATCGGTGTTCTTTAGCGAGGATTTGTGGTCTATCAAATCTGATGTAGTGACGGGGGCGATCCTGTACATGTTCACAGACTGCAGACTTCCCGGAGCGTCGATTCTTCACATCAGCTATATGTTCTTTGACGCGGGTTTTAATTGATCTTTTAGTTTGTCCTATGTAGGAGAGACCACATTCACAATCAAGCTTGTACACTCCTGCATCTTGCAGAGGGACGTTACACTTGACTGATGGTAAAAACTGACCAATCTTCTTCGGCGGCTTGAAGTATGTTTTGATGGAAGCGCGCTTCAAGATGTAGCCAATCTTGTCAGTGACTCCTCTAACATATGGCAGTACAGCAGGTACACGCTCGACTGTGGTCGGCTTCACTCGTTCTCTGTGACGTAGGCGCGGGACCCGAAGCTTGTTGTCATGCAAAACTTGCTTGACATGTTGGAGCTCGGCAGCCAGGTGTTTACTGTCACAGATCCCTCGTGCTCTCTGAAACAAAGATTAATTAATAGAAAAGAAATAATAAAGATTAATTAAACTATAATAAATAAAATTAAATCCCAACCCAAGCATACAACTGCAAGACTCCATGATACCATAAGTTCATACTGTGTAGATCGGAACAAAAGTTAAATTTTAATCTATGGTAACCGCGGTTAACTATGACAGCTGGACGTTGAACATCTCAGTCCTTCCCGTGACCATGGGTGCTGTAAATCTCTCGAAACGTCGGGTAATTAAAAAGTTAAATATACGCGATAAATTCCGTAAAAACTAGTATTATTTCAATAAATAATTTCGTTGGTATTCATGGAAATCGAATCACGGTAAAACACACAACGTACTTATTAAGAGGTTCATCATAAATATTTTGTTCTAGGCCATCTAAACCGAAACAAATTAATACTGACAAAAGCAACACGACGACTATTAAAAGTGATTCATTAAAAGAAAATGGTGTTATCAAAGTGGCTCCTGTAGAGGAAACTGGATTTGTGTCACTAAAAAATAGATTGGTGAACGTAAATGCTGCTTCACATTTGCGTGGTGTAAACAACAGTGGATATAACGCAGAAAAATGTGAAGGATCCAATAAAAATGGAGTTGAAGCACAAAATGTTTCTACAAAAGAAGAAGTATGGAGAAAGGACTCGTAGAAACTATATTCCTTAACTAATTTGTCCAAAATTGCTGGGAAGACTGGCACCAATAGAATATTACTAAATCATTTTTATTAATTTATGAGAACTGGGAGAATAAAATGAATTGAACTTTTTTTTGTTTAATTTTCGTCCACTTTAGACACTTTCAAAACATAACTTTGTTTTAGGGATTCGTTGTAATGGTGGTATCTTCACAGAAAGAGAGTTAAAATTAACTTACATAATTTATTATATTTATGATGTTTAGCGACACGATCTGTCTTCGCCTATGTAGGATCTAGAATGCAAACTACGGCCCTAGGACCAAATCCGGCCCGCCAGCTTAAGGCTAGTGTCATCAATCCGGCCCGCGACAGCTTAAGGGTAGTGTTATCAATCCGGCCCGCGACAGCCAATGTCTTATTGTTGTTACTGTCGCTGTGATAAGTTGAAGGAGGAAACACAGAATGATAATTACTTCATCATCATCATCATCATTACAGCCCTTCACAAGTCCACTGCTGAACATAGGCCTCCCCCAAGCAATGCCACAAAGCACGGTCCTGAGCCACCTGCATCCATCGACTTCCTGCATGTCTTACTAGGTCGTCACTCCATCTAGTGGGGGGTCGCCCTACACTACGCCTACCGATACGAGGCTGCCACTCGAGAACCTTTCTTCCCCATCGGTTATCGGTTCTTCGAGCTATATGGCCGGCCCATTGCCACTTCAGCTTACTAATCCGTTGGGCTATGTCGGTCACTCTGGTTTTACTGCGGATATCCTCATTTCTGAGTCTATCACGCAGAGAAACTCCGAACATAGCCCTCTCCATAGCTCGCTGAGCGACCTTAAGCGTCCTCATACGGCCAGCAGTGAACGACCACGTCTCTGATCCGTAAGTCATCACTGGCAACACGCACTGGTTGTACACTTTAGTTTTCAGAGATTGAGGATGATTATACCTGACGAGAAGATGTGTCGTAATTTACCGAACGATGCCCAGCCGAGTTGGATCTAAGGTCCTCCAGCGATTCTGCCATAAGGACTATATCGTCGGCAAATCGAAGGAGAGTGATGTACTCGCCATTGATGTTAATACCGTATCTTTTCCAGTCCATTAGCTTGAAAACGTCTTCCAACGTAGCGGTGAAGAGTTTCGGGGATATAACGTCACCCTGTCTTACACCTCTCTGCAGTTGGATAGGTTTCGAACTCTGGTTCTATGCTCGGATAGCCATCGTAGCCCTACTGTACAAACACTTCAGCACTTCGATATACCGACAGTCAACTTGACACCGCTGAAGGGACTGTAGCACCACCCAAATTTCGACGGAATCAAAGGCTTTCTCATAGTCCACATACGCCAGGCAAAGTGGCAGATTGTACTCTTCGGTCTTCTCTACAATCTGCCGCAGGGTATGTATGTGGTCTATGGTACTGAAGCCTTTTCGGAAACCGGCTTGTTCGGGAGGCTGGAAGTCGTCCAGTCTGCGTGCGAGACGATTCGTAATGACTCTCGAAAACAGCACGTAGACGTGGCTCAGAAGGGAAATCGGTCTGTAGTTCTTCAAGAGAGCGTTGTCGCCTTTCTTAAAGAACAGGACCACCGCACTTCTGCTCCACGCCTCCGGAGTAGTGCCACCATGGAGGACGGAATTGAAGAGCTTCTGAAGGACTTCAAGTGCCGGTGTTCCACCCGCTGTCAGAAACTCCGCTGTAATTCCATCCTCGCCTGGGGTCCTGCCGTTTTTAAGGTGCTTGAGAGCCATTTTAATCTCGCTCAGACTGACGTCCGGGATATCATCGGAATAGCGTCGGGTAAGACTTGCTCTTGGATCGTTACTCACACTTGCGTGTGGCTCCAACGATGATGTGTACAGCTGCCCATAGAACCTCTCAATCTCACTCAAAATCTCAGGTGTCTCGGAAACGATGCTGCCACCCTCAGTCTTCAGCTTTGACAGTTGGCTCTTACTGGCAGACAGATCTCTGGCAAAGACTTTATAACCCTGGTTCCGCTCGATCGCTTCTTTAATACGAGCAGTATTAAAGTTGCATAAGTCTCGCCGCATGCATTTGGAGATCTGTCTGTTCAGTTGCCTGTATGCTGTCAAATCTGTTGACGATTGCAGCCTCATCTCCCGTCTAACAGCCATGAGATTAGAGTGTGATCGGAGAGTTTTTGTGTTCTTCTGCGGCGGGTCTTGCAGAACTTAGCTCCGACCGCATGGACAGTTTCCACGAGCTTGTCATTCATATCGTCCACTGCATTGCAATCTTCTAGGCACTGAAAGCGGTTACGTAACTCGAGCTGAAAAGATAATTACTTGGTTTTATTTATTTACAAGGTAAAACTTAACGAAATAATATCCCCTTATTTGATTTTAAACTTTTCCCATATCGCACTTAGTTTTTGAGATAATATTAAAAATACTGCTCGGAATTGTTTTTTACTATTATAGATTAGCAGGCTATTTTGTTTTGTTTTACTAGTGTTAAGACACTGCCGACACCGACGATATAGTCCTTATGGCAGAATCGCTGGAGGACCTAAGCACTATGCTTAATGACCTCAATGGTTTCTCCCAACGGATAGGTCTTAAGATGAACATGGACGAAACGAAGATCATGTATAACGTCCATGTCACACCTATGCCGGTAGTTATTGGGAGCACTAAGTACGAAGTTGTTGACGTGTGTGTTTACCTGGGACAAATAATCCGACTAGGTAAGTCTAACTTCGGCCAAGAGGTCAATTCGGACGGATATTGAGAGGACGCTCAAAGTCGCTCAGCAAGCTATAGAGAGGGCTATGCTCGGGGTTTCTCTGCGTCATAAACATAGAAATGAGGATATCCGTAGTAGAACCAGAGTGACTAACACTGCCCAATCGATTAGTAAGCTGAAGTAACAATGTACCGGCCTTGCACTCGTAGCTCGAAGAACCGACAACCGTTGGGTAAAAAAGGTTCTCGACCGGCAGCCTCGTACCGTTAGGCGAAGTGTAGGGCGGCGTAGATGAAGTGACGACCCGGTAAAACATGCTGGAAGTCGATGGATGCAGGTGACTCAGGACCGTACTTTGAGGCATTCCTAGGGAAGACGTACGTTCAGCAGTGGATTTGTAGTAAATATGATGATGATGATGATGAAAGACTGGCTTAAAATCTGGTATAAAATATAATCTAAATTTTAACAGTTACTTTTTCTGTTCTAAACATGTGGTTATAATTATTTCAATTAATTTTGCGTCATTAAATATTGGTAGCTATGAATAAACAATCAAAATATGGTAAATCATGCAGAAGAAAAAATAAAATTTCAGAGCTATAGTTGTCGCTTGCAGAACGGATTAAAACTGTGAATGACATTAAATATCATTCACCGACTTAGAATTTATAAAATCTATACACTATACATATATATAAAATAGAAGAGTCTATATATATAATATAGAAATAACTGTCTTTTAAAGCTGATCTGGTTATTTTTTAATGTCCGTTGTCTGAGGAATCTTCTGAGTGGCCGAATCAATTGCGATGAAACATTTCAAACAGAAAGGAAGCAATGTCAGCTATATTTTTCCGTGGTAAAACAAGGATGTTTTTTTGGAATTACAACAAACTAATAATATTTGCTGCAATTCCAAAAACATCCTTTTCCAAAAACACTGATAAAATAAATAATAAAATAACTGATAACATCGCATACACAAAAAGGGTTTGCACACATGTATCCAAGTCACCTAATAAAACATGCTTTATTGCATGATTATAAGGTTAACTTAAACTAAGCTGTCCATGCTGAATTAAAGGCAATATATTTTTTATTATTATTGTCTGCAGAATCAACAGCATTTTGTAACATTGTAAAGCTTAGTACTTAATTATTTACATTTTCTACTACCTACTTCAGGCTCTTACTTATCTATGCTCTACTTAAATAAAAAAATCTTATAACATATAGTATGGATATAACATATAAACATTTAACTCGTTTAAAGATATTTGAAGGTATTTTAGAGTTTCAAGATTAAGGGTTTCACATTCTACACAACACATTGTGCTTTTTTTGCGCCCGAAGCAAATAAGGGCAACCCTCCGGTAATGGGGGAGGGAAGTGGAGAATGCTCATAGCATACCACGCAGCCGGCTGCTTGGTATGTGGAGACTTTTACCCACTAAACTCCACCTTTTTGGGATTGGCTTACCGATTTGACGAGAGATCTTTAAGCCGTAAACGGACGCGACCCTCCTTGGCAGAAAGGAGGGCGCAAGGCAAAAAGGAGGGCTCAATCACAGTGTGTAATGTCCAGTGTGTATTGTCATACCCTGTATTTATTAGCCTTAGTGTTGCACTGCCTCCCAATAATGTTAGCCTTAAGGTTCAGCTGGTATTGTAGTGGATCAGTTTGGCCACGTCAGTCTGTTTCTATATTCAAACCTGCTCGGTTGTCTACGGATCTAAATTAAATTCATACCAATTTATAATATATAATCCAATTATACTAGAATTAAATATCGTGTTTTAAGTATTTGATCAATCAGCTTATGCGTGTGCGTGTGCGTGAACGTGTGCGTGTGCATGTGCATGTGCATGTGCGTGTGCGTGTGTATGTGCGTGTGTATGTGCATGTGCATGTACATGTGCGTTTGTGCGTGTGCGTTCTCACGTGTGCGTGTGCGTGTGCGTGTGCGTGTGCGTGTGCGTGTGCGTGTGCGTGTGCGTGTGCGTGTGCGTCTGTGTGTGTGCATGTGTGTGTGCTGGTTAGGTACCGAGGTGCCCCTACCGAGTAATGTTCGGCCGAATATTCGGTTCGGTAACAGTTTTATCGAAATTTCGGCCGAATATTCGTATTCTATAAAATCCACATTCGGCCCATCTCTAGTAATTATCATATAAGGTTACAGAGGGAAACACACCAGGAGAATGGCAGCAGTCTCTTAATATTACCAGCTAACAAGTGGTAAAATTAAAAAATTTTGTACAACCAACTTCAATGTAAATAAAA